TGCAGAATACTCAGAGGCACTGATCACACCCCAGAGTGAGAATCACTAGCCCCAGGTCTCTGGGAGGTGGGTGGGGGTGGAGGCAGGAGCATGTGAATTTCCTACCAGCAGTAGCTGATGGACAGGGGTCCAGTAGCTGCTCTATAATTAAGCAGTCTTAACTGCTTGGGCTCCATGTTTTACTAAAACATAGTGCAGGGATATTCAATTTCTGGAACATACTGGATCTCACTGGCTGTACTGCCATGTGCTTCTCATTACAGCCCAAAGGCACAGGGTAAAAATGAGCAGAAAGGTTCAGGCTGGGAGGCTGGAGTGGAAAAGGTCCTGCTCTGTTGTTCTGTCGGGATCTAGTCCTGATTATAGGCAGTTCTAACCCTGGGACCAGGGATTGAACAAAAGTCTCTCCCATCTACAAAATAGGGACCATCTGTCTACCTACCAGGGGCTGCCTTAAGCCTTATAAAAGTACATAAGAGGCTGGGATACTCACCTAAATTTGGACTTTCAAATTTTCCTTTGTAAGTTGTTAGGAACCCAGATCTTTCCCCCAGAAAAACATACTCTACCTAGGCAGGTTCCAGTTTATGATGACAAATATCTCTCTGTATCCATTATTTGAGTGTCCATGTCCCTATGATGCTATACTCCCTTACAAACCTACAGATCAGCACACCTCAGAACACCCAATGGTCGTCTGAGAAAGTAACAAGATGGGCTTCTTTTGTTTTTGGAAAGGAGATAAAGACATAGGTTGAGCAAAAAGTAAGTCTCACTCTGTAACCCCAACCCTTACCCCTGTTCTTTTCTTACTGTTCTATTTTTAGTCTTTATAGCACATGTATCATGGCCAGCACTTCCCTGAGACTGGAGGTGGAAAACTCCACCTTCTCCTTCTACATAAAGAAGATTAATATGTGGTATGTAAATGCACATTGCAGTGACAAAGGACCCTGCCAGCAAGGAAAAGTACAACCATATCCATGGTGGGCCCTGAAGATCCCCTGGGAGACTTAAAAGATGCTCTGTCATTCTTCTCTGGGCAAGGGTCTTCCAAATCTGACTTTTCAAATCCCTGATTGAATTCCCAGCAAATTACTCTTCCTAGCTATAACCAGAAAAGCAGTTTATATAAACATGAAATTCCATCAGTGTAAAGCCCTGTGCAGCCCAGTTGCCAGAGCTGCTAATAACGCCCTATTGTGTTACTGTGGTGTTCTGGGTTATCATTATACAGTCTTTGCTCCTGGTTGAAAAAACATGACGTTCCATTAACTATACAATCTGGGCTCTCTCCAGGCCAGAGATGCACCCTACTCAAAGCTGAAATGAGACAAGCTTTAATGCCACAGAAAAGTGAACTGACTGCAGGAGGGAAGGGAATTGCCAGGGTGGGTAGAGCAGCCGCAGACTCCGTCCTCTGTGACCCATGGTTCTTCCTGTAGCTAGCACTTCAGCAGCCAAGGAGCTCAGAAGCCCAAGCACAAACCAAGTCAGCATTCTTTCCCTTCCCACTTTGCTGTGGTCTGGTGATGCACAGCAGTGTCTGGGGAGGTCCCTTCCAGTACCGAGAACTTTGTCTGGAGGGACTACTCTGTGGCCTGTTTGCCATGCCTGCCTGGTGGTCCATTCTCCAGCTCTGGACTTGGAAATCACATCAATTTGCCTGGGTATAGGTGACAAGCTGGAGGTGTACACACACCATAAAAGTTCTAGCAGGCTTTTCATTCAGCACAAAAATACCTCAGAAAGATGCTGGTGGGAAGGTAGAGGCTTAGAATTAAATAGTGAGGGGCTGGCAACTCAGTTCACTGGCCAGAGCCCCTCTCCACACATTCCTTAAGAATTCAAAATTGTCTGGTGGTGGCACACACCCTTAATCCCATAACTCAAGAAGCAGAGGCAGGCAGATCTCCGTGAGTCTGAAGACAGCTTGATCTACAGAGCAAGTTCCAGGACAGCCCATGGCTACATAGAGAAACCCTGTCTCTAGAAGAAAAGAAAAAAGAAAAAAAAACCAAACCAAACAACAACAAAAAGAATTCAAAATTACATTTTGTAGAATATAAAATTGGTATGTTTATTGTAGAGAAATTTGCAAATTCAGAAGTTAGAACTCTTGTCCTCTGGAAAGGACTTCTATCCTAATAGGAAATCCAGACACATGCAGGCGGTGGCTTTGTTTTGCTCTGTTCTGAGATGGGATCTAGTTACTGAGCCTAAGTTAGCCTTGATCTCCCAAGTGTTGGCATCAAGCCTGGCCTAACTTCCTTCAAAGGTGGAATGCACACAATGTTTGGAAACATAATAGTATAAGTATTATATATTTCTCCTAAAATATTTTGCAAACATGCACAATCTGCAATGAATAAACAGTACTCTGCATATTTCATGTCTTACTTAAATCCCATTGTTAGACACTTAGGTAATTCTCAGCTTTTTACTATAAACCTCCATACCATAGACACATAGTAAGGGCTCCTTCTTGACTGTATTTCTTTTCTTTCTTTTTTTAAGATAAGGCCTTGTCGGATGGAAAAGAAGACCCTTAGCTGTGTTAAAACCCTGTGCTACTTCCTGCCAAAGCATCATCTCACCCGCATCACTCACATGGCAGCCACATGTGACTACTTAATTTAAATAAAATTAAAAGTTCATGTCCTCATTTGCATGGAGACCACTATGGTGAGTAGCTACTGTTCTGAACAACAGGAATACAGAGCACTTCTGTCCTTCTAGAAACTTCTACCCTGCAGTTCAAGTTCACAAAGACCATCAGTTACCCTGTCCCTAGCAAGACAGGAAACAGGTGGCCAATACTGGACACTGTGATGTTTGAAAATCCTCTGACAACCTAATAAGAGCAGTATCGTCTTTTCCATTTCTTTAATTACTAGTGAAATGGAATGCTTTTGTTCATGTACTAACTTCCACATTTTTCCCCCCTTGGGAAATTATGACAGAAGGCTAATTTCTAACTAGCTTTTCCATACTAAGGTCAAACTTCAGAGAGTAAACTAGATTGCAAAAACTTTTTCAGCTTACTACATTTCACTTATGCTGTCTTTCACTCTCTAAAGAACAGAGCTCTCATATAGTCAAATGCCCCTCTGTTCTTCATGGACTCTGTGTTCCTTTCATTCTCTCTGAGATGTAACCCTGAGGGTACAAATACACACTTCACCATTTACCAGAGGGCGCCTTTAGAAGTAACAAACTCATTCCACACTTATTTGAAATTCCACCAAGCAATCACAGGTACTTATATATTCTTCTACTTTGCCCACATACGCTTTGAACTTTACCAAACTTTTTTCTTAATTTGCCTTCTAATACATTTCAGTATTTGCTGAGAAATTGTCTTCGTTATTCTTTCCCAAAAAATGTTTTAAATCTTTTGACTTGGTTGTCTCCACCCCAAAATTCTAAGATGACTCTGCCAAAATTCCTCCATTGCCTCAAGAAATTCGTTTATAAGTTTGACCAAAAGTTCAGTTCAAATTATAGATTTAGGACATCTGGTAACGCCCACAGCACCCAACAGTCCTCTTCCGAAATGATGATTTTTGTTGTTGTTGTTGTTGTTGTTCAAGTTTCCCCATGGGTTCCTTAGAACCTATGATGCTATGGTTTTTGTTTCTTTTGAGACTGAGTCTAAGGTAACCTAGGTTGGCCTCCAACTCACTATGTAGCCTAGGAGCCCAGGATCACCTTGAACTCCTGATCCTCCTGCTGCTGAAGTTACAGGCATGCATCATCAGCCGTAAATTGATGGAGTTTCTGTAGTGCTGGGGAACAAAGCCAGGGCTTGTGCATTCTGGGCAAGATCCTACTGAGATACAGCCCCAGCCCTCAAGTCTTCTTAAAGAGCACAATGGGGAGCATCTTTGGTTTCAGACAAGAGTCCCATAGTTTCTCTGATCCAGAAGCTCCGGCTTCCACCTGCTAAAGCAACAAAAGATTTTCTCTTTCTTAGCCTGGGCCTGAATTTTAAGTATTCACTTTCTCATAAATCTGTAAAAAAGAGATCTCACTTTTTATCCGAAGACTCTGGAGTTCAAAACAGCCTCAACGGAAAAACCAAACCCCAGCAGCAACTGCGAAGCACATTTGGTGTCCAGCGGCCAGCTTATTTTTCAGGACTCTTATTCCAACTCCCAAATACTTTCCAGTCTGTGAAATTCATCCCCCCACTGTAACTGCAAGCGCCTCTCCTGGCACCAGCACAGACATAAGGAGCCTGGATCTTGAGGGACCTTTTATTGTTGGAGCTGCTTTTCAGCAGAGAGCACATAAGCATATTTAAGTGACTGTAGCTTGGCAGCCCTGAAGGGATCTGGAAAGTGTGGAACTGGTCTCAACTCGTTTCTCCCTTAAAGCAAAGTCCATTTTAGTCCGAATGCCAACCATGCTGGCTTCCCTAGCAGTCAAAAACCCAACAGCCCAAATTTACCTACATCTCAGCTCTGAAGGCAAGGGGCGTAAGACTTTAGCCAGCACCTGAAAGCATTGGTTGACACCACTCAGGAGGAAGGGTGGCAGTGGGACTGGCATCTGTGTATAGGGTAGGGGGAAGGGATAGTATTCAGTCCCTACAAGGCTGAGGTCCCCACAAAGGACCAGCTGGAATTCCAGAGGTAGAGAAGTCTTGGACTTCCACTAAATTGCCCAGGGTCATCAGGCATCAGGCCACGAGAACAAAGACTGCATTTTGTGGCCAGACATTTGTAAAAGGAGATGGCTGGCTTTGAAGAGTACCCTTGCCTCTTACTTTGGAAGTGTCTGTAAGTTCTACTTCTGACTGCAACTCCTAATCACCAAGGGGGAAGCAATTAGACAAACAGAATCAACTGCACCCTCCTGGGACTCGCAAGCTTGGGGCCAAGGACAGAAAGAAAAGCAGGCAAAGCAGCCAGGACTGCCAACACCTGAGGATGGAAGCCCAGCCTTGGCGCCCCTGGGGATCACCCGCCGGAGAGCAGCATCCTCTAGGCACTTACTTGTCCAGGATGAAGTAGAGATCGAATCCCCCATAGCAAGCTGGTCCCCCGTCTTCGCGGCGTCCCCCTTGTCCAGCGCACACGAGCACAAGCGCAGCCACGAAGAGTCCCCGCAGGCCCGCGCCCAGGCACCCCGCGCGGTCCATACTGCAGCCGGAGAACTGGTTTCTCTTGCCTCCGCAGGACCTCAGGGGCTCGCCATACGCAGCCCCGGCTCCCGAGGGGTCCCCTGGCTGCCTGGAAACGCCCGGAAGCAATTGTCCAGAAAAGTTCAAGGGTTTCGTTCTGGTTTCCGCCGGTTCTGAGCTGGGTTTCGGATTTCAGGGACCCCAGGGCGCTCTGCTCCGTGGAGTTGCTAAGCTTGAAGCTTTGCAGTCGAAGCAGTTCCGTCCCGGCGGCTCTTTGTCCTAGATTTTAAGTATGATGGGGTGGGTTTTCAAATTGTTCTTGGTTGGGGCAGTGCGGTGTCTTTGCTCCCTCCCTTCTCCCCTCCTTTCTTAGTTTTTTTTTTTTTTTTTTTTTTTTTTTTTTTTTTTTTTTGGGGGGGGGGGTGGGGTGGGGTGGGGGAATGGGGAGATTGGCGGGAGGAAGAAAGTCTAAAGAGTGCCACCTTGTGGTCAAGAGCGGCGAAAGTGTTGGTGGGTTCTGCTAGACCTTGGCTGGCTGGGGCACCAGTGGGTGGGGAGTTTTGGTGGCAGAATCTTCAGGTGAGGTGTAAACCTGTAATTAATCCTTCCTTTTTGTCCTGCTCCTTGCCTTTCCCACGGCCACCTCTCCATTCTCTCTAGCCTTACCAATCTTGTTTTCCTTTTCTTTTTTCCCCTCTTCTGCATCTGCGGATACAGTCACTGTAAACATTTGATGAAAACGCATTTCCTTCAAGAAGAGTGGCTCCAATCCCAGGCCAGGACTTTTCAAACAGGAGCCTTTGTGCAAACGAGACGGGGAAGAACAGGGCCTGTGTGATCTGAACCTTCGGGCGACCTTGCATAGTTTTATTTCCTATCATGAAGACTTTGGGTTGAACTCTGCACACACAATGCCACCAAATGCTTTCCTTGAGCCTGCCTAGGGACTTGGAAAGGCTGAGGCCTCTGGATTGTCTGTGCCTCCACGTTTCAGGGATGAAGCACTGAGGAAGTAAACAGCTTTAAAGGCTGTCAACAGTTCGAACCATTAGGCACTGTCCCTCAAGTCTTAAGCTTCTCTTTCTAGACTGGTGGGTCTTCCTTAGTTTGAGTCCTAGTTCCTGCAGGACTCAAGGTCTAGCTTCCCCACCATTCTAGAAGCCACCAGTTAATGCTCATTCTTGGCCCAGTTTCAAGGCTCTTCTAGACAGTTACACTTCTTGCCCTCCACTCAGGAGTCTGTAAGAAGACCTTAGCTCCTCACCGTGGCCCTCCTGGTACTTTCCCTCCAAATCATATCCCAGTATCTTGGAATGCTCTATTAATCATTGATTGTATTTTCAAATAAGCACATTATTAGCAAATCACACTAGCTCCCCTCTGGGGTGGTCTCCAGAGTGACCCAGCCTCAGTTCACACACCTCCCTCATAAAGGAAGTGACTAATTTGATAGGGCCGATTTGATGGCATCTGATTTTTTAAGGCTCAAGTATGAGATATTGTGACTTCCCTGCTTCTGGGATCACTTACTCTGAGGAGGCTCAGTGGCTGTGATGACTGCTCTTGGTTGTCAACTTGAGTATAACTGGAATGAATTACAATCTAGAAATGGATCACACCTGTGATCCAAATCTTGAAGACATTAAGCCTTTAATTCAGACCTTTAGACTGGAAGACACCTTTAATCTGGGCCACGCCTTCTGCTGGAAGCCTTCATCAGGACATGGAAGAAGGAAGGGTTCGTTCTTGCCTTGTCAGCACATCCATCCATTCACTGGCATTGGGGCCCTACTTCCTTGGAACCCCAATACACATAGATGACCAGCTAAGACACCCAGCCTCATGGGCCTGAGCAGCTATTAGATTCTTGAACTTTCCATTCACAGCTAGCCATTGTTGGATTAGTTGGACTGCAGCCTGTAAGTCATTCCAATAAGTTCCATATCTATATAAGGAGACAGATTCATTCAATCATTCCACAAGTTCTCTGATTCTAGAAAACTCTGACTAATACATTGGTATATCATGAGAAACCCCAGACCCCAGCCATGTGGCTGGACACTGCCATCCCCACTGACAGCCAACATCAGTCACCAGCCTGGTGTTTTGCAAGCTGATTCTCCAGGGCCTGTCAAGCCTTCGGGTGACTGCAGCCTTTGAGACCCAAGCAAGTACCTAACCTGGCCCTCCCCTGACTCCTGATCCATGGAAGCGGGAGACAGTGTTTGCTTGCATTCTCAGCTGCTAGCTTTAGGCAGTTTGTTGTGTAATAACAGGTAACTATCAGCTGTCTGTTGTAGTTACTTGGAGAATTTCTGAGGGACAAAAGTAATTTGACAGTTTCCCAGACTTTGCTTGTCTACAAACCGTTTTCAGATAACACCTACTGGCACCCACATTTTGGGAATTTCTGTTTGCAAGAAAACATAATTAGGGGGAGTAAAACTACTCTAACTAGTCTGTTTGCTTTTTCTGTACTTTCTCCTGCCTTAAAAGAGAAAAGCCCATCTTGGCCCTACCAAGCTCTGTGATAAGAAACAAGGAGGTAAGGTCTACAGAAAATAGCTGGACCAGTGAAGGCTGGAAAACCAGGGGACACAGGTCCAAGAAGAGAAAGAACTTGAGAACAGTATAACAAAGAATTTGTTTTGAATTTGGCAGCTTGAATGTCCCTGCAGGGAACTGAGGGACAGGAGGAACCAGGGAAGTCTTAGGAGCATCTTTTCTCATCTTCCAGCCCTCAGGATCCTCTGAGGTATCTAAGTGTTTGGGTGGCAGAAGAATGCCTTGAGAACATAACAGGGACAATGATTTAGGGAGTCAGCCCAGGGGAGACAGAGCTCCCTAAAGCCAAAGACACCACTGTGAGAGACAGACAGAGGTATAGACTCCAGAACAGAAGGAGGGCCCATTCAAAATATGCTCACAGGGAAGCAGGGAAGGTAGAAGATTGTGCCCCCCACTCCCAGGACAAATGTGGCCCTCAGGAGGGTAGAGAAGTGGGAGGAGTCATTCAGGCATTGAAGTGTACTAGCTACCCCTACCTTTCTTCCAGGATTTTGAAGAACCCTTTTTTGGTACAAGCTGATCATCTTCAGTTTGGTACCATCTCAGCCACTGCAGCTGCCTCCCCTTCCTCTTCCTCCTCCTCCCCCAGCTATACAAGTAGGTTAAGCTTCAGATACCTGCTAGATGCTGTATCACACCATCTATCACCAGAATCTCATTGGGCACTAAAGCGTTCCATGGGCTATTGACAAAGGTTCTGGAAAAGGCTCCAGACAATGCAGACTAAATAAAATTTAAATTGTTTCCCTAATAAATAGTTGCCAACAATATGGACAAATGTGATACATTCTAGTACATTTCATGTCAATCGGGTAAACCCACTATTTGTAGGTTCTTGGATGTCTTCCTGATCACCCAGACCACACATCATGTGTAAAAAGGCCAGGAGAGTATTTACCAAAAGTAGTTTATCTTGAATAACAGAATTTCGGAAGAATCTGAGCCATATTGGCTTTGGTGATGAGATAAACAAAAGTGCCAGTAATGAAGTAACACCCAGGCGCTGAATTAGTCTGAGGGAAGATGTCATGAGGGCATCCCAGAGGCCAGGCATCCCGGAGGCCATGCAGTCCACAACTCCAGCCCAGAAATGGCCAGAGCTGTTCAACTTAGGAACATTAATACTCCCACCAAAGTCAAGCTGAGTGTAGCTCCAAGTAGGTTCAGTATAAAATAGCTCTTAATTCCTTCCAAAGCCCCAGCGCAAAGCCCTGCTAACAACCCTTGCCATGGAGAGATGAAACCCACTAGGGATGGCGTGTAACCCAACCCTGCAAAAAATAACATGTTGTAGATGGATCAATTATCGGCCCAAGACAGATCCTATTTAATCTGATTCACAAACTAGTTCCTCTAGGGCTACACAGCATCTACATTAGTCACTTCTCTCAACAATGGGGCAAAAAAGAAACAAGGGGGGTCTTTAAATAGGAAGGGACACAGTCTCCAATGGTAGTGAGAACTTGAGGCAGCTGGTCACATTGTATCTTCTGAAGAATTCATTCTCTGGCTCTTGCAGAACAAACTGTTCATTTCATGTAGAGCAGAGACCAGGGCAGCTAAACTCAAAACTTCATACTGAAACAGATCAGTACAGTGTGGTGTCCTGACAAGCCTGGGACTTACATAGAATAATGGAAAGTTATCTTAGATAAGCTGAAGCCAACACAAAGCTAATCACAAACCAAGTCAGTTCAGTGCCAATTCTGCTAAACTCTGGCATATTTAAGGGTTTTACTCACAGATTCCAGACCAATCCACATTGGGGAACAAGCAAGGGAAATCTCTCCAGGCCCATCAGTCCATGATCCTTTTGCTTCTTCTAAAGACTGATGTTGTGAAGTATCTAACAGAGAAGACTACTTGGACATGGGTTCAAGCTAATAGAAAGACTTTATTAGACATCTGGTGACTACACTAGGTGCTCATTACCCCAGTGTATCCCAGAGCCTTTCTCAGGGTGAGCTTTTAAGCATAGAAGCCACATCCTGGGTTGACATACATCAGTTAGTGATAACAGTTAGTCAGAATTGGAACTACAGAAGCCAACTAGCAAGGGTAGTTCCTTTAGAGACTTTCCCAGAACTGTGGGCTTTCATTGATTAGGTGTTTGTTCTTGCTTTGGCAGATCTTACTGCCTTGCTGGCTTTTAAGGCCTGAATGATACTTCCATCATAGTAATCAGTTGTACAAGGGACTGGGGGACCTGTTACACTGCCTTCTAAATTACGAGCAAGTGGCCCTCAGGGTGTGTGGGCATATGGCCCATGTGTGGATGGGATGTGTGGATGGGTGCTGTAAAGAGGCTTGCTCCCTGTAGAAAAATCCCATGGAGCTCTTCAAGGTATAACTATCTGTAGAATCTCAGAAACGGGCGTAGGGGTTTGAGGAGTACAAATAGTAGTGCCCCATTTTGTTTCCTTCCTTGTCTGATCTCCTCTTCTTCCCTGATGAAAGCTGTCAAAACATGCAGAATTAATGTCCATTTTCCAGGACTATTCAGGGTGACCTGCAAGTGAATAACAGAGTCTCAAACCAAACTGTTCAGGCAAATAAATTCTTCCCATGATGGCTGTCCAAGCTCCTTGGCCTACCCTCAGCTCAATTTCCTCCACAATAGAGAATAATGTTGCCTACCTCACTGGGTTGTTCATCGGTTCAACAAGATAATATATCACCTATAGCCTCAGGAAGAACTCAATAGATTTGGGGTTTTATTGTTATTGGGAGATTCTGAAAAATTGCACTTGACCTTCTCTTGGAGCCACTTGCAGATTATGTGATTTTTCTAACAATGAATC